GTGAGTGACGCAATCTCTGATTCTGTCGGCTATCGCGTGGGAAGCTCAGCTCAGCTCAGCTCAACTCACACCAACACTATTCCCACGCCCTCAATACAGTGAACTTTAGACCTTCTTCGGCACCTCATCCAAGTTCCTCCACTGGTGCACTCTACGCCCAAAGCGCTGCAAGCACTTCATCTTGGACTCTTGAAATCGTTGCTCCATCCAACGATGCAGCGTCCACTGCTCAATCCAAAGCTTCGCGCTTCACCGGCGAACGCACGCCAGGCAAAGAGGTGGAGTATGTCGCTGTTTGGGACCCTGAAAGCAGAGTGAGTGCATCTAGACACTAGCTGCTCCTGCTGGGAAGCGCGTATGCTTACGATCCGAGCTCTCCATCCACATCAAGACCTACGTGCTCTCGCCGCTTGCGTGCACGTACAGTCTCAAGCACGATCGCTCTGCCACAACCTTGTCCGAACGTGCGCAGCAGCTCCTATCCTTGTCGCGAGAACCATCTTTGGGTACGCGCAGACGTGATCGCGAATCGCAGCCAAGTGTTGCTCTGGAGAGACCAGCCAAAGGCGCCAAGTTGGAAGAAGCGCGCAATGCCAAATCCGATGCCCATGCTAGAGCGAACAACGAGCAGCTTCGAAGAGTGACACGACGCATGTCCTCCAACGAGCACTCGTCCAGGCATCAAGACGCGTCGCCAGAGCAGAATCGCGACGCGACGTCAATAGCTTCCGAGCATCGAGTTGGCGAAGCGGAGCCCGTCGCACATGAAGGAGGGGGACAAGAAGAAGCCGTGGAGGATGGTGAAGATGACGATGAGGACTTCTTGGCCCAGCAGCTTGCAGAAGCTCTCGATCGAGCATCCGCATCATCCTCACAGCGTCATTCCGACTCTGGCAAACAGTCCTCTTCTGGATCTCCATCCGGGATCACAAGCGCAGTGAGGCCTCTTCCCGCCATCGCTGCGCTGCGCAATGAAAGTGTGCAAACGCCAGGCACCACTCCACGAAGCTTGCAAGCTGATCCAAGCGGCGTATCGGTACCAGAAGCCGCCACCTCGTTTCCAGCTGCCAGCAATCTACTTGGCAGTCCTGCACCAGCAAGTCATGCTCCATTGGCGGGGCCAAGCGCTTCTGTCCATGCGGGTCATGCTTCTGGCTTGGGTCTGGGTCTGGGTCTCGTCACCAGAACTTCTAGCCCCACTTCTCCTGCTCGAACGCCCGGCTTGGCAAACAGTCCTCTTCCTCCTACGAGCGGTGCTGCAGCTTGGGTTCCACCCGCAAGTAGTCACATTCACATGACGTCATACGACGATATGGACGATTCGGCCGAAGATGATGAAGACGACGAAGATGAGGAGGATGAGGATGATGA